CCCGCCGCCTCTGCCCGCGGGCTCACGGCTCCCGCGGTTGGCGTTCACCGCCTCCGGCCCGCGGGGCCTTGGGGACGGGTGGGCCAGGGGCGCGGGCCAGGGCGCCAAGGGACGTCCATCTTGCTTGGGGAGGTGCACACGCGCGCAGGTGGGTGCCTCTCACTGAGCCTGTCCCAGCTTCTCGCGAAGCTGAGATCTGAGGCTCGCGATTCGAAGCCAGCCACACACAGAAAGAGCTGGAAGTGGAGCTGGGGCTCGCGGTGGTGGGGGAAGCTCAGGGACGGCGCCCAGGCCTGAGCTTCGTCCCTGGAACCGGCACCAAAGGAAATCCCACCCCACCCCTGGGGAATGGAGAGCGGAGGGGATGGGCTGCGCCCAGGCTCTCCTTCACAGAGCAAGCCGGGAGACTGGAAGCATCTGGAAGCACCCTGGCCCTGCGTGGTGCAGAGCCGCGAGCCGGGCTGGGGAGGAGGGATGGCCACCAGGCCAAGGGGATGGACCGCAGAAGACCCGGGCTGTGCCTGGCAGCGCCCAGCGCCAACCCTGGGCAAAGGAAGCGCTGTGGCTGGGTCCAGGCAGCCGCGGAGACCTCTGCTTCCTGCGTGGGGGGGGGTTGCATGATGGGGACCCTCTGTCTCCAGGGGGTCGTGGTGTTGGAGCCATCTCTGGAGAGCCCCTCCCCTTCTCCATCCAGCCTCTCCCTTCCCCTCCCCACTAAGGTTTCCTTTCTTCCCTTCCTGGAGCCGGGCTCCCATGGGCTCCAGGGGGCAGACGCTCGGCGCGCTCCCTGCCGCCCAGCTCCCCAGCCCTGGACGAGGCCTGGCTGAGCCCTGTGATCTGGACCATGCTGGTGCCAGGCCTGGGCCCCTGAAGAGGGCGTGGGCCACAGACTCGCTGCCCCGGAAGGCGCTGTTGGGAACCGGTGGCCCCACCTGGGAACTGCATTTCAGCGGCCAGGGGAAAATGCAGTCTGGTGGGGCAGGACAGGGTGGGAGGGGAGCGGGGGATGGCGCTGGGAGCTTCTGAGCTTCCTGCCTGCCCACAGGTGCCCACAGCCCCTGAACCCTTCCGGGGACAGACCTGCGCATGCCAGGGGTCCCGGCACAGGGCTGTGACGCGCCCGCTGCCTCCCGTCCCAGGCAGCAGAGCTAAGCGCTCGCCGCACTGTCTCCTCTCCAGCAGCCTTTGGATTGCTTGCTCTCTTGGACACAGCGGTGGCCGGCGACCGCTTCTCCACAGTGCTTGCTTCCTGAGGCTTGAACTCATGACCTGGGCCCCATCCGTCCGCTTTTTTTGCTTAAGGCTAGTGCTCCACCATTGGAGCCACAGCTCTACTTCCAGCATTTTTTGGGGGGGGGGCTTCTTAGTTGGGGATAAAAGTCTCACAGACAGACTTTCCTGCCAGGGTTGGCTTCGAACCTCAATCCTCCAATGTCAGTCTCCTGAGTAGCTGGGACTCCAGGTGTGAGCCACCGGCGGTGCCCAGCTTCAGCCTGGCAGTGCCTTGCCTCACCCTTCCAGGCCGGGCTGTGCCCCAGCTGGGGGGGAGGGGGGCAGAAGGCTGGGGAGGGGGAGGGTAACTGCCTCTCGCTCTGTCCCCAGGCATCCTGGAGATCACAGCTGTGGAGGTGGGCGTGGTGGCCATCAAGGGACTGTTCTCTGGACGCTACCTGGCCATGAACAGGAGAGGGCGGCTCTATGCTTCGGTGAGTCCAGCCTGGTGGGGATGGGGATGGGCAGTGGAGGGGTGGTCTCCCATCTAGGACCAGGCAAGATCCAACCTGGACCAGAACTCTGAGCTCCTGGTGTCCATGCCTGGAGCTCTGGAGGGGGGGGGTCCTGTGGGAGGAGGCCCCAACAGGGATGTTAGGGAAGGTCCTGGGGAGCAGAGAATGTCCCTTCTTGTCATCAATTTGACCTTCCTCGAAGGCAGCTGGGAGGATCTCCCATTTCCATAGACATAAACATACCCACGGATGCCTGACCTCACCTGGAATCCTCCATTCTCAGCAGACTGAGATCTGAGGATTGAGGTTTGAAGCCAACCCCGGCAGGAGAGTCTGTGAGACGCCCCCCCCCCCCCCCCATCAACTGTGGCTCCAGCGGCCGGTCTGTCCAGCCCTGGGCCAGCTGGGCCCCCCTTGACCCCTCCTTCCTTCTCAGCTCCACTCAGCTCATTTCCAAGTCCTCAGACGGCACCCCTCACCCCTCTACCTCACCCCACACGCCAGCTCCTCCTAACACAGGCCCCTGGCCCTTCCTGCCTGCCTGCTACAATTGCTTAGGGACAGGCCTGACTCATCCAGCCCACCCACCCTGCTGTCCACCCACCAACCATCCATCCATCCACCATCCATCACCACCCATCTATCCATCCATCCATCCATCCACACACCATTCACCCACCATTCCATCCACCCACCCACCATTCACTCACCCATCCATCCATCCATTCACCCACCATCCATCCACCCACCCACCGTCCACCCACCATCCATCCATCCATCCATCCACCCACCATCCATCCATCCATCCATGATTCATCCACCCATCCACCATCCACCCACCCATCCATCCACCACCCACTCATCCATGCATTTACCCACCCACCACCCATCCATCTATCCATTCACCCATCCATCCACCCACCCATCTGAGGCAGAGGCAGAGCCAGCTCATAAAACCTGGCTGTGTCCCTTCTCTTCATTGGCGAATGTCTACATTCTTTCTCTTCTTCTTCTTCTTCTTCTCCTTCCTTCCTTCTTTTTCTCTTCCTCTTCTTCCTCCTCCTCCTCCTCTTCCTCTTCCCTTCCCCCCTCTTTTTGAGACTGAGTCTCACTATGAAGCCCAAGGTAGTCTTGAACTCTGGATCCTCCCCGCTCACCCCTGCCTCCTGAGCTGCCGCTGCCCGTGTCCACTCTTCCTTTCCTCTTGTGGCCTCTCCTTTCCCCACCCAACTGCCCTGTCCTTGAGCCTGGGCACCTGGCCACCGCGGAGGTCCAGGGCGGGGAGGCACCACCCCACTGACCCCTGCTGGGACACCACAGTCAGGGCCCCCGGAGGGGCCTGGGGATGCAGAGGCCAGGCTGGGGAGGTGGTGTCCCCCCCCTCACTCCCCAGTGCTCCATGGCAGAGGCCATGCTGAGCGGGCTCCAGGGTGAAGCACAGCGGCCGGGTGGGACAGGACGTGGCCTGGCGAGGCACTGTTGGGACGCGGAGGTAGACCACAGGTGGCAGTCAGGCCAGCAGCCCCCTAAGCGGGAGAGGGAGGCACGGGAGCCGTGCCCACGTGGCCTTGCGTGACCGCTGTCCGTGCCTCCTGCCCACAGGAGCACTACAACGCCGAGTGCGAGTTCGTGGAAAGGATCCACGAGCTGGGCTACAACACCT